CCTGACTCCTGTGGCACCGTGGAGCCACCAGAGCACTTGTGTCTGTCAGTTCTGCTGTTGCCATAGCCATGCCTTCTGTGCTGTTTCATTTCCAGGTTCTAAAGAAAATTGTTTCCCCTTCGTGCTGCAGGCCTGTACTTGGTTCTTGGTGGCTTTCCTGTGACTTTGCAGTGTTGTGGAGCAGATTCTGTGTGGCTGTGCCTCAGACCTGCTGGCACTGCTCAGTTGGGGTCCCGTGGGGGTCACCCTGACTCCTGTGGCACCGTGGAGCCACCAGAGCACTTGTGTCTGTCAGTTCTGCTGTTGCCATAGCCATGCCTTCTGTGCTGTTTCATTTCCAGGTTCTAAAGAAAATTGCTAAGTTCATTCAGGAACAGAATGAGAAGATCTACGCTCCTCAGGGCCTTCTGCTGACAGACCCCATTGAAAGAGGATTAAGAGTTGTATCCTTCTGTGGCTTCTGGCATTGTCTCCTGCCCTGGGCTCCTCCTTTGCCTCAGTGAGGCACCTCTGCTCGTGCTTGATCTGTGATGTAGAATCAGTGATTGGTCTTGTTGCTCTTTGTTGTGTCCTGGTCCCCAGTCAGGTGTCAGTTGTGAAGGTTTGGTACGTGGAAAGCCCACGAAGATGTGGAACCCATCCTTTGTGAGTACCTGGAAGGAGCACTTGAGATCCTTCCTCTATTCCAGTAACCTCCAGAAATGCTGCTTTTCTGACTGGGGAAAGAAGTGACTGTGTTGGCAGGACAGAAATTGATGTTGTGAGAACAAGACCTGGCTGTTCATTAATGTGCAACCCTCAGCTCAGGTTCTGGTGAAGATTTTGCCCAGCACTTGCTCTTGCTTCCAGTGTGGCTTATTTCAACCCTTTTTCTTCAGCTGTTGAGCCACACTGCAGACATTTTATGTAGTTATTGCCTGAAGTTGTAAAGACCTCTCATAGCAAATGGGGAAGTTTAATGAATAACACATCTTTCTTTGGAAATATTGAAACCACAGCAACTTGGAACCCAATTGAATGTATGATAAGGCTAATTCCTTGCAGCTGGGTTTCCTGTGGCCTTGTTCAAATAGCTCAGAGCTGTCATGACTCCTTTTTTCTCATGTGTTTTCCATTGTGCATACACCTTCTGGGGAAAAAAAAAAAACCAAACAAACAACATTCAACTTGATAAAAAGCATTTTCAGTTTGGTAGGTGACTTATTTAGCAGTATTAACTTTTTTGCTTGGTGCACAGCCTTCCCCAAAATTTAGCAGGGGGGCAAGGCTCAAACCCACACAGCACTGAGTTCCTGTGCAGGCCCTGGGCTGGGAGCCAGTGCTCTTACCTGGTGAGACATCTCACATAGACTGTTCCCTTTGCTTTGGAGCTCTGGGACCTGCCTTTAAACAGCTAAGATATCAAAAGTCCCATAATCTTAATGTTTTTCTGCCTTTTTCTGGGCATGTTTTCATAGTCTCTTTATAGTGGATTTCCCTAACAGCTTTTCTGTGCAGATTGAAATTACCATTTATGAAGACAGAGGTTTGACCAGTGGAAGATAAAACTGTGGAGTCTCAGGTACATGTTACCCTTATCTCAGATCAATCTCAACATCTTTCTGTGCTCAGAGGATTGGGTGCTGTCATGCTGAGAGTTTATCCCACCCTTGTACATAATCAAAGACTGTTCACATAAATCCTGTGTGGACCAGCTCTTCTTGGAAGTAAAAACATCAGTACAGAGCAGCATGTTGCTGAAGAGAGAAGAGAAATTTGAGTCTTGATTGTGTAAATATGCTAACTTGTGCTGTATTATATCCAAAATTCTTCTCAGGTCAGTAAAAGATGGACTCTGTCCCTGGTGTACTCTAGCACACAGAGCCTTTTTGCTGCAGTTTTTCAGTTGGCTGCTCTTCTGGTTATCATGCTGATGTCTTTACTTGTGATGCTTTTGGGTCCCAGCAGCCTTGAAAAGCTCTGCTGAGAGGCTCTCAGTTCTCCTGATGCTCTCACAAAGTGAGGAGCACTCACAGGACAGGGGCTCCTGCTAATTGTATCCAGTGTAGAGCACCAAAATTACTGTCTGTGGCTGTGCTTTTGGAAAGCTGCCACTGGCTCCCTTGTGGCAGGTGCTCTGCAGGTGCTGGGATGGGAGTGTCAAGTCCAGATTGTTGGCAATTATGCAGGAAAGAGTGGGAAATGTTTATGCCAAAGAAATAAATAGTAAAGGTGTTTATTTTTTTGTTTGGACAAATGGAATCAAGAACTCTGGGTTCTGCTCATACTGCTCACCACAACCCATGGTAACTTGCTCCTCTTGCCACACTCCTGCTGCAGCTGTAGGAAGGTTTGTGTAGGGGAGATTTTGATGTGACTTAGGAGGAGTTTCTAAGCATATGAAACTTCTTTTCTAGATGATAGCTCACCGGTGGACTTGCTGTACCAAGGTTCCCCTACCTCCTACTTTAGAGCATCATTCCTTTCTCTGCTGCCAGATCCACAGTGCCATCTACTACAAGGACTAACTTCCTCAGACTGCTCCCCAGGGGGTGACCTAGCTGGTCAGCATCCACTTTGCAGTAGATTTGGAAGCAACAGGATCACTTTTTAGTTTTTGTTTGGTTTGTTTTTTGGTTCTTTCTTTTCTCAAGAAAAGGCAGAAGTGGTAAAGCTGTGTTCTCTCCTGAAAGAAATGGGGCTCTCAGCCCAACAGAGGTTTGTTCTAGTCCTGTAAGTGCAGTGCTGTTAGTCCCTGGTTCTTAAACCCTTCTGTGTGTCAGTTGGGCTTTGGAAAGCTCCAGCTCGAAGTTGGGAATTTCCCTCCAGCCCAGTGTAAGAGTGCAGAGATACACAGTGCCTCTTCCCAGTGAGGAGTGACTCAAGGCACCATTTCTTGTGCTGATCCTTGTGGAAAACCAAAAGGCAAAGTGTTCTTGAGTTAAGGTCTTGGTTATCCCTGGGGGGAGGGGGCTGTAGGCAGACTTTAACCCTGGTGGTTTTTCTGCCCCTGTGTCTGTGCTGGTTTTGGCCCCATCAGTGCTCACCAAGAGGGGCCTGGTCAGTCATGAAACAGTGAGCACAGTAAAGTGGATGCTGAGCCAATAAAAATAATGATTCCCACCCTTCTCTGATTAACATGTGAAGTGTAAAACTGTTTCTTTATGGATTTCTTACATATAATTTATAGGAAAACATTGATTTGACAAACTGTAAGATTCTGTGTAAGATGGATTTCTTAGTTCTGTCTCTGGCACACACTGAGGAGTTGAGCTGTGCATTCCTTAGCATCCCCGTGCATTGCTCAGCAGTACCTGCACGAGTGAAGTTCCCCACAGTCCAAGCTGGCTGAATCCTTTCTCTTACATCCTTTTCCCATGTCAAAGCCCGGGTGTCCTGGTGTAGGGGCCGAGTGTCAGTGTCCAGTTGTGGAAGGAACTCAGGAGTTCAGGGGCTGGCTTGGTTGGTGGTGGTGCTGCAGGTGCTAATACTGGATATGGAACTCCAGGCTCATTCCTCAGCCACTGGGGGGGGGGTTGAGATTTGATTAATATTTTCATTGTATAAATTTGTTTTTTCTAAACTGTAACAGTGTTTGCCTTTCACAGCTGTTGCAATATTGGCAGAAGTACTGATGGATCAGTAAACCTTTTCTTAAACTGTGTGCAGGTGTGTTCTGGCAGCGCCGTGGGCTCGGGGTGATCCCGAAGTGCTGGGCTGGGAGCAGCTGGAACCACACGGGGCTGTGCCCAGGCTGCAGGGGCATGGCTGGGGGCTGTGCCAGGCTCTGTGGGTATGGCTCCATCAGGGCCTGGCTGTGTCCCTGTGCCCGGGCTCCGTGGCTCTGGCTGCAGCAGGGCAGTGCCCACCTGGAACCTGGCTGGGCACAGTGTCCAGATTGCATGGCTATGGTTCTATCATGGCCAGTGCCCACCTGGAGCCTGGCTGGGGGCTGTGTCCAGATTGCATGGCTATGGTTCCATCATGGCCAGTGCCCACCTGGTGCCTGGCTGGGCACAGTGTCCAGGCTCTGTGGGTATGGCTCCATCAGAGCCAGCAGCCACCTCATGCCTGGCTGTGTCCCCGAGTCCGGGCTCTGTGGCTGTGGTTCCACCAGGGCCAGTGCCTGCCTGGTGCCTGGCTGGGGGCTGTGCCAGGCTCTGTGAGTATCTGGTTCCACCAGGGCCGGTGCCTGCCTGGTGCTGGGGGCTGTGCCCAGGCTGCATGGCTCTGGCTCCATCAGGGCCAGTACCTGCCTGGTGCCTGGCTGGGGGCTGTGCCAGGCTCTGTGGGTATGGCTCCATCAGGGCCTGGCTGTGTCCCTGTGCCCGGGGCTCGATGGCTCCGGCTCTGCCATGCTCAGTGCCCGCCCGGTGCCTGGCTGTGTCCCTGTGCCCGGGCTGCATGGCTCTGGCTCCATCAGGGGCAGTGCCCACCCGGTGCCTGGATGGGGGCCGTGTCCCTGTGCCCAGGCTCTGTGGCTCTGGTCCCACCCGGTGCCTGGCTGTGTCCCTGTGCCCGGGCTCCATGGCAATGGCTCCGCCATGCTCAGTGCCCACCCGGTGCCTGGCTGTGTCCCTGTGCCCGGGCTCCACGGCAATGGCTCCTCCATGCTCAGTGCCCGCCCGGTGCCGGGCTGGGGCCGGGGGTATCCAATCTGCTGAGCCCTGATTGGCTGAAACAGCTGCAGCTTCACTGCGCCTCCTCATTGGCCCAGAAGTTGCAGCTTGACGCCGCTCCCTGATTGGTGGAGGCGGCTGCAGCCCGTCCGCCTCCTGACTTCCAAAAAAGCTGCATCCGCCTCCTGATTGGCCAGCTTCAACCCGCTTCCTGATTGGCTGAAAAAGCGTGCGCTCCGTGATTGGCCAAAATGCTTCATTACATCCACCTCCTGATTGGCCGCGGCATCAGCAGCAGCTCCAATCTGCATCCTGATTGGCCGAAGAAGATGGCTCTTTCAGTCCGCCTCCTGATTGGCCGGAGGAGCGGCGGCCCCAGTCCGTTTCCCGACTGGCCAAGCGGCCGCAGCGCGATTCCTCACCCGCGGTCCCTGGCTGCCGCGCATGCGCCGTGGCGGGGCGCTTGGCGGGAGCGATGGCGGCCGCGACTGGCGGCGACTCGGACGGCGACAGCGAGGAGCTGGTGCTCACCCCGGCACAGCTGATCCACAGCCTGGAGCAGGTACCGGTACCGTGGGCTGCAGCGACGGGCTTGGGCCGGGGGAGCCGGGGGTTGCTGGGCGCACTGGGGCAGATACCGAGCGGCGGGGCCGTGGCCGTGTTTTTCCCTCAGCTGTGTAGCTGAGGTCATCCTCGCTTTCACTGACAGCGTGCCTTCTTTCAGGCCTGGCTGAATGAGAAATTTGCTCCAGAGCTGCTGGAGAGTAAACCTGAAGTCATCGAGTGCGTGGTGGAGCAGCTGGACCATATGGTAGGTTCGGTTCTGCTGGCTCGGGTGGTGCTGCGGGCAGGCCCTGCTTGCCTGCTGGGGCAGAGACGAGCCTGAGCCTCTCTGAGAGCACCGGGCTGCTCTGCTTCCCTGTCTCTGAGATAAAGCTTTTTCTTTGAGCTTGCCTTGGAAAGGGGCTAAAGCACGAGGAGGCATTGTGCTTTGGGTCATCAAAGCAGCCGCAGCTGGTTCTGTGGGTTCTATATGCAAAACTTCCTCTGTTTCTTCTGGTTTGATGTTTCAACCATTTAATTTGTTGTTGCTTTTTCTTGCAGGAAGCCAACCTGAAACGGGCGAAGAGAGGAGACCTGAAGGTCAGCGTTCATCACATGGAGATCGAGAGGATCCGTTACGTGCTCAGCAGCTACCTGCGGTGTCGGCTGGTGAAGGTAGCGCTTACTGTGCAGCCCAGAGGGTGAAAAAGGGTCATTTCAGAGGGCTTTTTACCTACACAGTGCTTCCTGCACTTAATTAAAGCATGTTCTCTCTCTGTTCTCTGAAATGTAACTGGCATTAATTTCTTGGGCGCACTGGTATTGTCAGGAAGGAAGATGACAGCAGCGTTGATCACAATATTGTGGGGGCTGCTTGCTTCACCTGAGCCTGGGGTGGCAGAGCTGAGTGCTGTCCTGTTCTGCCCGAGGCCTGCTGCTTGTACAGCTTGGTGATCCCATGTGCTGTCACAGTTCAGGAGCAGGATTTGGGCAGGCCTGCCTGCCAGGCTGCAGCTCGTAGGGAATCCAGTGGAGAGTGGGGGTTTAAACACTGAACTTGTGGAATAGATCTGTATCATTCTTTTGGGTTGTGTTCCAATATTAGATAGAGAAGTTTTTTCCCCACATCCTGGAGAAGGAGAAGTCTCGAGCTGAAGGGGAGCCCTCCATTTTATCACCAGAGGAGTTTGCTTTTGCTAAAGAGTGAGTAGGATTTCAATGTATCTTCCTCCCCTTTTATAGATTATAGAAACTTTCCTGTGTGTTTTGCTCAAGTTCTTGAGACTGTGAGCCTTAGACAGGTTTGAAGTAAGAATCAGTGTGTTTTACCAGGAGGTTTCCTTGTGGGCAAGAAAGGAACTGAAAATAACTCTGGTGACTTTGAGTGAGTTACCAGGGTAGACCAAGGGCCTGTCTTTGGCTGTGCCCATGGCATGAGGAGCCATCTCTTATTCTTGTTTTGTGTCAATACTCTCCCTGCAGATTTGTATTTGATTAACCAGCTCAATACTTCAATGGTTTGTTTCAGGTACATGGCAAACACAGAGGCTTACCTGAAAAATGTGGCCCTAAAGCACATGCCACCTAACCTGCAGAAAGTGTCTCTCCTAAAGTCAGGTGAGTCTATCCAGACTCCAGGGTAATCTGAAAATTGTAGAAGCAGGTGGAAGTGTGGGGAAAGCTCCAGGGAGCCCCAAATGTAAGGGCTAGTCCTCAGCTGAAGCAAAGTGATGTGGTGATAGTGTTGTGACGTGGTTCCATGCTGCTGCCAGGGGATCGTGCTGGCCCCTGCTGTCAAGTGCTGTCTTGCACTGAGGCTGAGCACATGGGTCTGGTTAGAAGGGTCTGGTGTAAGTTTGTTACCTGTCAGAGGAGCACGAGTGAGGGCTGAGCATGTGCTCTCCATCTGTTGTCTGCAGTTCCAAAGCCCAACCTGGACTCCTTTGTGTTTCTGAGGGTGCTGGAGCGGCAGGAGAACATCCTGGTGGAGCCAGAGACAGACGAGCAGAGGTAGGTGGGCATTTCTGCGTGTGGCACAGGTGCCAGTCTGTGTCACTGTGGGCTGCAGCTCACAGTGTCCTGCTGTCTCTGCAGGGAATACACCATCAACCTGGAGGAGGGCTCGCAGCACCTGATCCGCTACAGAACCGTGGCCCCTCTGGTGGCCTCGGGAGCCGTGCAGCTCATCTGAGGGGAGAGGTAAGTGCCTGGTGGCAGGAGCAGCTAGCACACCATCCCCCTGGCCACCCCACCACAGCGGGGCTGCCAGGAGCTCCCCGTGGGGCTGGGTGCCCACTGCCTTGGCAGGCAGAGCACAGTGGCACTGGAGGTGAGTACCACGGTGTTGTACTGCAGAGGCATTCATTAACCCCACAGCTCATCAAGCTCCTGATTGCTTGTGACATTCCCAGCATACAGCCATGCAGTCTGCATGCACAGTGGTATTCCTGGGTGAGGGCAGGCTGTGTCACAGGGTAGTGTCTGGAAAGCTTCAGTGTGTAGCTGCTGGGGTGCCTTGTTTAAGAGCTGTGGCATCGCTGAAATGGAACAACTGTGGTCATGGACTGAGGAGAAAGTAGTTTCTGCTGTGTGTCATCTGAATACCCTCCCTGCAGAGGGTGAGGGGCTCTGGTACAGCTTCAGGCTGCATTTGTGAGAGCAGATTCTGTCAGACTCCTTTCTGCAGAAGCCACTGCTAAGGGAAGTGGGACACACAGTTCACTTTTACTGGTCACACAGAACAAAAATTCCTTTGGCTGTGCTGCCCCATGCAGGCCTCAGGGTGCTGTGTGGTACCTCAGCTCAGAACCTGTGGAGTGCATGGGCAGACAGGAGCTTGTGTTCATCAGGACAGGGTTTCTGTTCCCTGCCTGAGGGGTGTCTGGGGGGCATCTTCCTCTGAAAGGCTGGGGGTGACACAGGGCATCGTGTAGTGTGAGTGGCTTTGCATGTGTGGTTTATAGTCTTCCTAATTAATCCATTTAGGTAAAGAAGATTCTTTCAAGCATAGACATTAAGGGGGGGTTGGGTTTAATCCTTAGGAATCAGTAGTGTGTTCCTCTGGACAGCCTCCCAGGAAGGGCTTGTGAACTGTGCCCTCCCCGTATTTACAGCCAGACAACTTCACAGAGGTGACTGAAGCTGCCAGACAAAATCCTTGTTAATCTGCTGCTGTGGAAGCGTGCTCCACAGGATCTGCCTGAGGAGTGTGCAGGTGACAAGTCTGCAGGCTTTCTCCTTGGCCCTGTTCATTGGACTGAATCCTTGTCCACACAGCTGAGTGTCACGTGGCTGCAGCAGAGGGGCATCTGTCCTCTTCTAGTGGCTGAACTTTAACTGACCCCATGGTTTCCAGAGTGCCTTTGGTGTAGCTCAGCTCTGGAGCTTGCAGCACATGGCTGTGCCTTCACAGGCCAGCCAGGAGAGTGGACATGGCTCTAGCAGGCTGAGATCAGTCAGGCTCCAGGTGAGAGTCAGTTGTGGCGCAGGAGAGTGGACATGGCTCTAGGCTGAGATCAGTCAGGCTCCAGGTGAGAGTCAGTTGTGGCACACCTGAAAATGCTTACCTGCTTTTGTGTCCTTCCATGACTGAATACCAGGACATGTGTGTAACTGCTAACACTGCACCTCTGCTCTGTGCTGGGGGAAGAAGTGTCCACAACTTTATTGAGAAAATGATGGTTTTGGCTTGTCCTTTCAGATGGGGAAGGCACAGCAGTGCATCCACCTTAATCGGTGCTGCTGCGACAGAATGGGTGGAGTAGGGGCAGCTTTCCCATTGTCCATGGGTTCTGCTGTTAAACTTGATGTTAAATACATTCCTTGTTCTCTGCTCTCCCCTGGGTGAAATAGCTTGAGTTCACATAGTGATCAGCTCTGAACACCAAGTAGGTGGATGGTGGAAGAGGTCACAGGGAGGGCACTGATGCTGAGCTGCAATTTCCCTGCCTGAGCCAGAACTGCTCTCATGGGGACAAGAAAAAGATGGGGGCAACTGCTTTCATTGCTGGGAGGACTCATGTTTGTGTTGGCTACCCCAGGTCGCTGAAGTTGGGGGGTTTACATTGTCAGCCCGAGATGATGTGTTGAAAGCTTATTTTTGCCAGCTGGGCACTGGGTTCAAGCTCACTTTGGCCATCCTGTGAGAGGTGTCTTGCATTGTGCTGCAGACATTCAGACATGGTGGTGATGGAGAGTCATGTAGAAATATTGGTAGGTCAGTCAGCTGTGTCATGAGCTGATGAAAATCTGTGCTGTCAGCAGGAACAATCAGGGCTGCTTAACATAAATGGCCAGACAGCTCTGGGGAGATTAGCAAGGAGTACAAGGCAGGGGTGATCTGATTTAGGTGACAGTCTTTACTGTCAAGGAGTCACATGTGACCTGAACAGTGAGGGTGATTTTGACTAGAGATGTCAGGGACACCACAGTGTCTCTTGCTTGGGTGTGAGCAAATTTCCTTCAGTGCACACATCTAGGGGAAGAAGCTTCTCAGTTGGTAGAGGTTGGGCTGGGCTTTTCTCTGCTTAGACACCCTGGAAATAGCTGTCTTTGGAGAGGCATCTGAAAAGGGCTCTATGAAACCAATTCAAACCTCCCCATTAAAGACTAGGTAAGAGGAACACGCTCCCTTTTCTCCCAGAGCTGCCTCCTACTGTTGACAGTTGCACAGCTGCTGGTACTCAAAAAATAATCGTGTTTTTCTGGCACCAGGACCCATTTCTGCGCTGTTTTCCCTGCTGGCCCTGCCTGGCGCAGTGGGAGGCCGCGCTGTGCCCTGTCCCGGGCCCGGTACCGCCCGCTCTCCGGGACGCGGTGCCGCCGCCGCCGGGCCCGGGACGAGCGCGGCCCCCGAGGGGGCGGGGCGAGGCGGGGCGGTCCGTTCCTATTGGCCGCCCGGGAGCGCGGGGCGGCGCTGATTGGCCGGGGCGGGGTGTCCCGGCCGCGGGCGCTCCCACGGCTCCATTGACGCGGAGCCGCCGCGGCGGGAGCGGAGCGGAGCGGGCGGGATGAGCTGCGGCGAGTGAGCGGGGCCGGGCCGGGTGGGACGGGGGGCTCTCCGGGGCCCACGGCTGGGGCCGCGCCGCCTGACCCCCCCTCTCTTCGTCCCTAGGCTTTTCCAGGTGTGCAGCGGGCGGGCTGTCGCCCCCCCAGCCGTGCCCGTGGACCTGGCCGTGCGGCTCTGCCTGAGCCATTCGCCCCCCATCCGCAAGCTGCTGAACTCCTACGAGGAGCTGCGGGGCAACCGAGGCCGCAAACCCCTCCGATCCTGTCTCAACCAGAAGCTGAGCGCAGAACCTGAGCCAGAGCGGCGAGACAAGGGCTCCAAGGGCCGGAAGAAGAAGCAGGTTGTGTTCGCTGATATGAAGGGGCTCTCGCTGACAGCTGTCCGCTTCTTCTCAAAGATTGAGGAGGACCTCTGTGATTTGCAGCATGCCCTGTCAGACCTCGCCTGTTTCCAACCGAGGAAAAGCCCCCCGTGGGAAGCGTGCAGGTACGTGCTGGACTTCCCACAGCCGTCTGCAAACTACGTGGCTTTCCGCAACAGCCTGCACAGCAACTTTGTCTGCCTGGAGAGCTGTCTGATCCAGGGCCGTGCTCTGTCAGGGACAGTGAAGGTTAGAAACATCGAGTACGAGAAGAAGGTGACGGTCCGCATCACCTTTGATGGCTGGAAGAGCTTTTGGGACATCCCTTGCCAGTACATGCACAGCACCTACGGCTCAGCTGACACGGACATCTTCTCTTTTGAGCTTACCCTGCCCAAGCCATCCGTCTCCCACAGGGGCACGGAGTTCTGCATCTCCTTCCAGTGTGGACAAAAGACCCACTGGGACAACAACCATGGGAAGAACTACAAGATCTGCCACGTGGGCACGATTCACCCTGCCTCCTGTGCTGTGAAGAGTGCCAGCAGGGCCTGGGAGCATCTTGGCACCTCTGGGGCTGCTGCTCTGGTCCTTTCCCACCTGCAGACCTGGCGGCAGTCAGAGACCCAGGCTCCTTATTGGTAGGAAGGCAGTGTGGGGAGACATGTAGGTGCCCTCCCTGTCCCGAGTGGTACAAGTGTCCTCGGGGAGGGCTCAGCTGCAGAAGATGCTGCTCACGGTGTTGTTAGCTCCTTCACGGCCTGCTGCTCTATGAGCAGCTGCCAGTCGCTGCAGAAGCTTCTTCACTACAGAGGCTGGAAGCTGCTGCTTGAAATAACTCCTGCGTGTAGGTTCTCAGGGCAACCCGAGAGTGGGGAAGGGCCGCGGGGCTGGGCCTCGCGGCCAGGTCCGAGCCACGCCGCGATCCGCGGTGGCCGGTGCTGCCCAAGTGCCTTGTGTGGAGGCGGCTGCTGGGGCCTCCGGAGAAGGGCTCACCGCGGGCTTACTGGGCCAGGAGCGGCGGGGTGCCTGCGGTGGTTGGTGCTGTAACGGGGAGTTAATAAAGTGACGGCGCTTCGCGACTCCTGCCTCCTGCTCCGCCTCGCGGGGGTGGGGCGGGCCCGGGCCCTCAGACGGCGGCGGGAGGGACGCTCCCCCTGGCGGGGCGGGCGGGGAGAGCGGGGCGGCCCTGCGGGCGCGGCCCCGCGGGCGGCGCGCTGACGTAGCGCGGTGCGGGGGCGCGCACGGCAGCGGCCGCGCCGCAGTGCCCGCCGTGCCTGCCCCGCGCGTCCCCGCCCCGCGCACAGCGACGACGCGAAGGTCGTCGGCAGGGCCGGGCCCCGGTCCTGCCGGGATCCGCCGCGCTTCCCGGGAGCAGAGCGGAGATCGATCCTCGCCGCCGCCCCCGGTGCGGCCGCCGCGGCCTCGGGCGGGCCGTTAGCTGCTCTGCCGGCCGGGCGGACGGCGGTCAGTCGCTGCAGCCCCGGAACAGCGGTGCGGGCTGCGCTCGGTGCCTGCCGGGCCCGCCCGGCCGTGCCTCAGCCCCGGGGCGGGGCCGGGTCCGAGCGGCCGGGAGCCCGCGGGCAGGGCTGCGGCACACGTGGGCTCGGCCCTGGCGGGGACTCGGGGCGGCAGAGTCATGGCCGGGCTCCTCAGGGCGGCTGCCGGCTCAGGGGCCCGTCTGAGCAGGTCACCAGCACGAGTCCTGGTTCTGCTGGGTGACAGTGTGGCATAATGGGCAGCTGTGGCATAATGGGCAGCTGCACGTGTGGCTGACAGCTGCCTCCCCCAGTCCACGCTCTGTGTGTGTGCCTCTGAAGCACTAACACTCATCTTAGTGTTACTGGTACAGCAGTGTTTAACCAGCAGCTGGAACATGGTGTACAGAGGAGCAAGAGGAGCTTTACAGATTCTCCTTTGCCTTGTGTGCTTGTCAGGTAGCTGTTAAATCCCATCCTCAGGTTGAGACTCCCTAGCCTGGTGAAGGTGGTGTCCAGAGGGCAGTCTCCCCCGAGCAGGCTAATATTTTATCATAAGCCACTGATGGCCCTGTGAGTGTGTGACCTTTGACTGGTCCTTGTGCCCCAACAAGTTCTTCTTTGACTAATCATCAGGAGTAATTCTCCCCTTAGGCTAACTTCCTGTCCTGCACTGTTTGTAAATCTGCCCTTTGTCACTGGGGATGAGATGTACAGGGGCAGAGGAAGTGATACCTACCCAGGAATCTGGGTACCTGGCTTCCTCACTTCTCTCGGATGCCCCTGAAATGAGAGACATGATAAGGTCTTGGTCATGAGGAAGGGTTTTCTGTCACTCCTTTCCTGTACTTGAGACCTGATTGCAGCATCCTGTGCCGTAGGCGTGGTTCTGGATGAGTCTGCTCCATGTGAGGTGTGCATGGTATGAAAATACAGGATGAATGGCAGCAGGAGGTGATTCCCAAGTCTGTGACAGTGACAGGACGTGGCTAGAGTGTCTGTCTCAGTCTTTGCTGTCTCGGGAGCTGCTCTGAATGGTGTGACCTCAGCCCAAGTACTGCCTTCCAGGTTTCAGAGCCCACTGTCTCTGGCCTCCTGCCACGCTCTCTGCGTTGACATCTCTCCGGTCTGCTGACTTCAGTTGCTCTCCTCCGCTGCTGCTGGTGGCATGCGAGTGCCACATCTGCCAAGAAGCCAACTTGCTGTTTGAAAGCTTTCCAGGAGCTTCACTGGTGTCTGTAATGACCCTTCAGCGTGGGTGGATGCCAGGGGCCTCCAGAGCTGAACTCGTTCCAGGCGTCATGCAAGGACCCGTGCTGGTGCGCATGCCCTCGTGGGAGAACAATAATAGCTCCACGTACGGTAGGCTCCTGTGAGTGCCAACTCCCTCGATCTCCTCCAATGCAGGCTCAGGGATGGACTCCACCTTGTCCCTCTGAAGAGACTGTGCATGCTCTCAGCAGCCAGGAGGAGATTCTGCTGCCAGATTCTCCACAAGCTGCCCCGCAGCAGGACTTGTGGCAGCCTGGGAGGGGATTCGTTCCTGCAGTCGTGGTGCTGCCGTGCCCAGCACCTGCCCATGGACAACGCCGTGTGTGTGCACTGTCTGCTCTGAGCTCTTTGGCCTGCGTCGTCTGAACTCCCCCGAGCTCCTGGCAGACTGTTGGCTCGTTTTCCCAAGTGCTCTCTCTGCTCTTGTTGCATTCCCTCTCTCAGAGCCCCGAAAGGATGTGAACTTTGGAATGGGGTCTCTGAGCACGCTGCAGACTCGGTGCATGTGTGAGACTTGCTGAGTGACAGGAGGACTGGTTCATTGCTGCGAGCAGCCCTTCTGTCTGGCTGCAGGGCACCAGCCTTGCCTGGGCCCTTCACCATGTTCCTCCTGCTCCCCTTTGACAGCCTAGTGGTTAATCTCTTGGGGATTTCCATAACTGTCCTCTTCACTCTGCTTCTGGTTTTCATCATCGTGCCAGCAATTTTTGGAGTCTCCTTTGGCATCCGCAAGGTTTACATGAAAACTTTATTGAAGATTTTTCAGGTAAGTCATGTTTTCAGAGTGTTCTCTGTGTTTGCAAAGGTTTGTCCAACCATGGAAAAGAGGTTTTTGCCTCAGGAGGGGATTTTGTGTGACTAGAGTGGAAGATAGGGCTGTGGATGCTGTGCTGCTGCCTGTTGACCTCTTTGGCTCATCTCAGCCAAATGCCATTTATGAGACCTCTATTTGTGGGCTGTTTTTTGCCCTGTAATTAATCTAGTAAGTCTTCAAGTGAAGCAATAGTCTAGCAAGGCTCTGCAGTCGTCAGGAGCACAGCAGGATGTGAGGGGTAGCTTGGAGGGGTTCTGTCCCAGGCAGGGCAGGGTGCTGCTGCAGCAGTGTCAGGTGTGATGGGGAGGGAGCAGCCAGCAGGTTGCTCCTCTCTGGGGCACATTTGAACGAAGCAAGAGCAGAGGAGGTAAGGCAGGACTTCTGTGCTGCAAGCCCTGAGTGATCTGTGGCCAGAACCCAGAGCTCTCAACGTGCTTGTGTCCTGGAGTGTCACCTACTGAGCCGTGTCTGGACCTGCCACCTTGGAGGACAACCAGCAGCCCTTGCCGACCCTCTTGGCACACAGAGGACAAGTGGAATTTTCCAGCTTGTTGTCATGCTGTTCCCTTGCCTGCCTTTGGTGGACTAATTTTATGGGCTGTCTCTGAGCCAGCACCTCTTGAAGCAAGTTCCTGACCAGACCAGAATGTTTTATCTACTAGGAGTAGTAGGTAAAGCCTATACCACCCTACCCTGGCAGCTCAGGGGAAAGCAAAGTGCTAGGGAGGTTTTAGGCTCTTAAATATGGAGTTCATGCTGCTGAAGGATGTGTGGTGTAGCTACTGCTGTTGGAACAGGGCTGATTCTGCCTGATACTCTGGGGAGTATCCCTGTAGTGACTGGCTTGGGAAGACAGCCCTGGAGCTCACAGTGTTCAGCTCTTTAAACTCTTGAGTCTTCCCAAAAGCCTGAGGTATAAATGGGAAGGCCCTGGGTTTTGTGAGGGGCTTCATTAACACAGGTATTGGAAGACCTGACTACAAATTTACTGACTGAAGCGGGCAGAAAAAAAAAAATAAATGGAACTTTTCACAGTGTTTTCTTTTTCTCCCCCTGTTCCTTCAATTCAGGAACATTTGCTCTCAACACCTATATTGGTGTTTGAAAACTATTTTTCTGAAAAGCTATTCCAGCTTTTATTAAAGAATCTTAGTGTTAGGATAGAGGAACTCTCATGCCCAACTGGTCACTGATTTGGTGGAAAATTCACTCACTAAGTTTGACCATTCAGAATGGTGTTTTGGAGGGCTATTACTTACTCAAAATACTTTCCCAGCACTCGAGGCTGATGTTGGGAACCCAGAGGGGCAGCACGTG